TTATCCCCATCGTTGGTTTGGTCATATAGAAAGAATGAATGCGGAAAACTGACAAAGCAAATATATGTGGCAGAAGTGAATGGAAGAGTCGGAAAGGGACGTCCTAGGCGGAAGTTTGTCGACCAAATTGGCGATATACTAAAAATGGGCCAAATTAAGAGTACCCTTAACCGAGGAGCATGTATGCGTAGGTATATGGATGTGGAAGAGGCAAGAAAGGTATGTCAGGATCTTGTTAAATGGAAGTCTGTAGTCTCTGCCTACCCCTCAGGGTGACAGGCGTGAGTGTTTATGTATTATGTATTACTTCCTGAATTAAGTCTTTTAAATGCTTGTATAGAATTTTTGAGTTTTTACTTCACTTGGGGTACAAAAATGAGCTAGTAGTTATGAAGTGGAGAGTTACTAACAAATCACCAGAAGCCTCAATTGTAGAGGAGCGGAAAAAAAGAATAGAGATTGAAATAAGAAACAAAATTTCACCTTTGGTTGATATTGTTCGTCCAAATTCGGGGACCCAATGATGGAAACATAGCACGAACAGCACTATCAAACCAACATCGCCAAACATTTGCAGATATCTTAGGTATAGAGACCTGGCTGGTGGATGACCTCCATACTATTTTAGTAGTGCTGTCGAGTGGCTTAATTATAGATGCCGCAAAATTTGACGACTTTTACAAGTCTCTAGCTGCGAAGTATGTAGAAAATTACAATTGCTTTTATATGTCCGTCACTATGCACAAAATATTAATGCATGTCCGGCAAATCATAGACGCCAGCACGTTACCTATAAGTATGTTATCCGAGCAAGCAGGCCTGTAAGCTCTGACAGCGCGCGACATGTTATAATCCCGTTCGCTCGGGACTGTAATGGCGGCAAAATTTGAAAATTAGCAAATTTTTTGCTATATTGCAAATTTTGCTATATTTTCACTTTGAGACAATATTTATGGATAAAACTTACAGGAATTCTTGTTGAATGTATAAACTATCGAATACAATTATTTTTGGTTGCTAGAAATTGTAATAAAATACCTGTATAGCTGTATAGTGGTATATACTTCAATTTTAGTGACAAAATTACTACTAATTTGAATTCTACACTTTTGTTTTTAGAGAAATTTATATGAAAATGTTTGGAAATATGTATATTTTTATGTTTTATGTGTTTCCATTCGTTACTCATACCAAAATATTAAAATATAAAGAAATTAAAAAAATTAAATAATAATATTTTATCTGTGTGACATTTAGAACAATATTTCTAAAATAGTTTTGTGTGAATTTGAAATAAATACAACGTCAAGTTATTTGAAATATGTAAGAAAACTATTTTTACTTACATTTTACACTAAAAATAATTGAGAATGTGAAAAATACCACATTTATGACCCAGCCGCCATAATGGGCCTTCCAGATTTTGAAGCACTTTTGGCAATTTACTTTTCACTTTTTATACCACAAATTATATATATATATGTGTTCACTATATTACAAGGAATATAAAAAAGTATAATACTTTCGTTTTTAGTCCAGACACAAATATAAAATTCTATAAAAAAGACGGAGCACCTTCATCAAAACGGCACGTGGAACGCCGAAAGTTCAGAGTGATTTCTTTTTTTTTTTCTAAGAAACATTGCCAGGTTATGGTTTAAAATAAAAGAGCATATCTTTGTCTTTGATACTATTATCTATTGCATAGTGTCTTTGGTTTTGTTTAAAACGAAAAAATAGTTTTTTCATAGGTACACATGTTTACATAATTCTGATCAAATTAGATCACTGCTTGGCGGACGTACGGTAGGTATTGTACGATCGAAAGTGCGCATGGCTTGGCTTACAGGAGAGACAAATACTGGCGCCTACAACCTGCTACCTGCTAAACCTGCTACAGCTAAATTGCAGCGGCAAATGGGCAACCCTAAATGTTGAGCGAGTGACAACGTGATAAAACTATCCTGAGCTCCACTGTCAATAAATGCACGACAGTAGTATACTGGGCGAGAGCACCGCAACCACGTACGCGCAATATACATGTTCCGAGTAGAACAAGAGCACGACTATGACCAAAGTGAGCGCGGATAGTCACGGAGCTCGCAGTCGCGGTCAAGTCGTCATTCGTAACGGCTATTTTGTCGATAGTCCTGTCAGTGAAGCAACACGAAACAGCAACAATCGTGAACACACACACAAAATATCGTGAAGCAACGAGTGATGACTCTCACCACAAGTTGAGCATGGATTATTTAAAAAAACATTTATTTTCATTATGATTCAAACGTAAACACTTAATGAAAATTTTTAATGGGTAGTAAGTCGTATCTTTCAGAAATATCAAGTTCCTGAAACTTCCGACATTTGAAAAGCGCATGTACCGCCCGCAACATAAAAAATCAGCTATTTAATTTGCAGCATTTGAAGCTACAGCAGTGTTCGAAGGCAATGATTTTATGATATTGTTTATTATTGTGACTATTTCGTGTCCCGGTGGCATGCACAAATTTTTTATGCCACTGTACCGGTTAAAACACAGACTCGAAACGATTACTCGGTTGACAAACTTCTAGCACTTTAACAAAACTTAGTAAAAAAATTAACAAACCATAAAATGTAGGAATTTGTTTCCCGTTTTGCATCAGGTTACCAGGTTGTTACCAGGTCGTGGCGCCCATGGAGAGATTTTTATTGCCAATATGCCTAATTATTTTATTTTTTATTTTATTTTATTTGGAACACCAACAGAATATCAACGTTACATGAATACAAATTAGACATTTCGACAAAGCCATTTACAGGTATTCGCATATGGTTATTTAAATGTAGAGAGGCCATGTAAACAATAACAATAAACAAAGTAAATCCCCGAAGATGAGGAGTGTTTTCAAAATTTAAGAGTATTTAAGAATTTGTGGCACCCTTGGCGTAGGGGCCAAAGAACTCCAACGCAAACAATCTATTTACATTATGAGGCTTGGTACGGAATAGTTCTAATTCGCCTTTATTTATTGACAGTTTGTTAAAAAAAAGTTACTTGCACGAATAATAAATAAATTTCGGCGGTAGTTAGTATTGACTCTAAGAATAGCTAGTAGCTGAGTACGTCTAGTTAGTAATCTGCGCGGGACAATGATGCCTCCGACAATTTCTAATAGATACCTAATATCGAAGAGTTGCCGTCTTTTTCCAAAGGTAAGAAGTGGTATCTATCGCATCTCGTTTCATAACCATGGTTCAATTGCTTACACTTGTATTGTAGATATCTCAAGAACCTTTTTTGTATGGACTCAATACGGGAAGTATACACGTTAAATTGTGGATTCCAGACCACAGAGGCATACTCAAGGATACTGCGCACATAAGCACAATAAAGTACTTTAATCGGTTAAATAGATTTAAATTCATATGTAGACCTTATAATGAAACCAAGAGACTTGGAGGGCTTTTTCACTACATAATCAATGTGTTTATCAACTAAGAGTTTAGAATATTGAATGAGACCCAGGTCTTTCATAGATGTAACTTTGTTAAGTGACTTATGATTGATTTTATACTGATAATTTATAGGGTTAGATTTACGAGAAAAGGTCAAAGCAAAACACTTGGAAACATTCAAATCAAGCTTATTTTGAGTACAGTATTGCACAAAATTATTCAGATCGGATTGAAGGCGATCACAGTCACCAGAGCTGTTAGTGGCCATAAAGATCTTAGTGTCGTCTGCGTATAATAAGACTCTGGAATGTTTGAAACATAACGCAATGTCTTAAATGAATATAATAAAAAGCAAAGGCTTAGTATCATCTGCGTATAATAAGACTGGAATATTTGAAACATAATGCAATGTCGTAAATAATATAACAAAAAGCAAAGGCCCTACTATAAAGAGCCTTGACGCACGCCAGAAGGAATTGTTATCCACGCAGAAGTAAAACCATTTATTGCAACCACCTGGGATCTATTACTGATGTAAAAAGAAAATCATCTAAATAAATTACCACGTATGCCGGCTTTGTACAATTTCTCAAAGAGCAGCAAGTGCTCTATACGATCAAAAGCTTTACTAAAATCAGTAAAAATACAATCGACCTGTAGCTCTGAATCCATTTGTGAAGAGGTGTATTCATTAAAAACTAAAAGGTTTGATACAGTCTACCTCTGCCTTAAAAAGCCATGTTGTTCAGGAGTAAAAAAAGACTGCAGTGTAGCATATACCTGTCGGTAGACAACTTTCTCAAATATTTTGGCAAATATACACAACTTAGATATAGGCCTATAATTCCAGGTTGTTGGCACCATACATTCTTTTAAAGAACGCTTGAAAATAATGCATAGAGGCGTAACCAAGCTACCTACACACTGCCATATAAAAAAGGTGTTATACTATCAGGCCCAGCGCCTTTATTCATGTTAGTAGTTTTCAGCAATATATCAACCTTCTTCGGATTTATATTTATGTCACCAATACTAAAATTATCTTGACACTGTTTATCAAGATTAGGTTTACGGCTATTAGCGTCGGGAACGAGAAAAGCTGATTGAAAGTATTCTGAAAATAAATTACAACCGATTGTCCTTTCAGCGACTTTGTGTAAGACCAGATAAGACGTGGGTTATTTATAACCGAGTTATCTACTTTACTTTATGACTATTCTATGACTGATAACACTCAATTTCTAATTTTACGGCTCTTTCTCTCGGAAATGAGTATGTTTCGTAATAGTATCGGTTACCATATTTTTTAAGTATTTGAATTTTTCTGTTAAAACCTTTCTTAAGGCGGCGTTGTATCAAATAGGAAATGAGTTACTACAGATAATTTTGTAAGGTATAAATTCGTCACGAAGATCGGTCAGAATACGATAAAAATTACGAACACTGTCGTTAATAGAACCGCTCGTTTTTCGACAAGTTTGAATTAATTTCTACATAATTTCCTTCTTTGTAATTGAAAAAAGTTCTCTTATTGACAGTTAGAAAACTAGGTACGTCTAAATTTAATTCGATGCAAATTGATCTATGGTGTGAATCCTCTGAGACATGGGGATAGTCAGTGGGTAGTACATTTCATTGTCATCCAGTAGCCTATCATTGCTATTTCGTATGTTATTGTATTGGTCGAGATTACATTCATTAATTATGTCCAAAAAATTTTCCGGACTTTTGTTTAAAACACCCATTGGCCCTAACTGACCACTTTCCATTAAGATCCAGCTGATATTTGGCATATTAAAATCTTCTAAGACCATAAACAGATCGTTGGGTGCAGAGTGAAAGTTATCCCCAAGCTTACTCGCGAAGTTATAGAGTTGTGTATTTATTGAGTAGCCGCCTCCCTCCTTACATAAATAAATAGTGCAAATGTGTATTGCGAGAAGGCCGGCTTTGGTGCGGAGTGTCTTAGACCCAAATATCTGCGGCGTAGGAGTGCCAAGCCGGGTGACCGGCGGCGGCGAACTCGCGCCGCACGGCCACAAGCACGTCGCCGCCGTACCACTGCCCGGTGGAGCAGTAGTCGCGGTCACGCCGTCACACTATATACCGTTCATCAAAAAGTTCACTATCACTAATGCCATCCAATAGACAAGTTTCCGTTATTAATATGACATCAAAGCTGCTTAAGGCCATATTTCTCTTAAATAAGCTTGTTTTCGTGCGCAGTCCCCGAGCATTTTGATAAAAAATATTAATAGCGAATTTTAGAGTATGCAATCGCTACATTATATATATATATAAAATTGGTTCGGATTTTGGTCTGGAATTCACAACAATCACCACTGCAAAGCTGTATTGTTTTGCGAAAGCAAATTGCAAGCAGAGCGATCAACAAAACGACGGCAAAAGCAAAGTTAAATAAGCGAGAACGGTAGTATCTCGTAGATATCGACAGCACGCAAACATTGACTAACATTTTAAAAGCAAAATATGAGGTAAAAATAATATGTTCCACCAGTACATGCGGGGTGCAGAGAAATTCTACCTCTAAATATATGCAGTTACGATAGCTATTAACAGAAGTGCCTTCACTAATGACCACCGCGTACAGGTAGCGAGTAATAGCGATAAGCAATACAAAAGAGTCAGGGCTTCCCAGGTCGCGGGCGCAACAATCACAATATTTACGCGAGTTGAAATAATATAATCTTGAGCAATATGTCGTACAAGCAATTAGTAAATCAAAATATACGCACTTTATCAATTTTATGAAAATTTTAGAAGATCTTTTTCTGATTTTATGCGGAACGTCGGTGATGTGTCGGATTTTCGGGCCAGAATCTTGCAATGTTTTATCCACACATATTTGAAGTTTTTTTTTTGTTTTCGCCAGATCCTTCGCCTTCTTAAGAATAGCTTTATTAAATAGCGTGAGATGGTCGTTGACGTAAACGTGGCCTTCATCGGCGTATCCCAGTTGAGAAACTTTGAGTTCCTTATGTTTGCGCGCAGCTGCTACAAACTCTTCCTTGCAGTAACGATTGTTGAGCGCTATGATTATGGACCTTTGAGACTCTGCTTTGAGGTTGGGGACTCTGACAATATAATTAATGTCCTCTTTACGTAAAGAGCACTGGATAACCTTATTGATATGGTCCACAATATCGTATAAGTTCTTGGACTTTTTCACTGGAATCCCTTTTATTTCCACATTATTGGCCTGCATTTCCTCCAATCGCACTGCTATCAAAGGATTATTATAAGATGTTGATACAGGAGACTGGGCATTTTTGCGGTCAATACAGCGCCAGGTGGGTCTTCTTTCCCCAAGTTTACGAAAATTGGTCTTTGTAATACCAGCATAGGGAAGTCAAACTGGCGTTTACATAAATTACATAAAGGTCCGTCAGACACTTTATTCCCACAACGTGCACAAGAGATAATTTCCGCTTAAGATTATCAAACTTAGTAAAGCGGCCCCAGAGTTGACTCACTGGTATCGGATTTAATGATAAACGATCGAGCGCGTGCACCTTTTACCGCGTTCCAACTAGCGCGTATACCCTTTACCGCGTTCTGACGATGACTGAAACTATTTTCCTAAACCGTGTGACGTGTAGTTGCCGACACGAGTGGTGAGCACATATAAACTGTGGTGGGAGGTAGGTACACTGTCGGGCAAAATTATTGGATACCTTTATTATTTCAATTCGTAATTTAATATTTTCGGCGACTTTTGCAGATATTCATGTCCGTTATTTTATTGTCTACTATAAAGTATTTAATGTATACCTGGTGGTTCGAATTGAATATTTTATTAAGAAGAAGGAAGATGTGATACGCCTTTCATAAAATCTGGTGTTGAGGTGCGCCGTACAGTAGCTACTGAGACATTAATCGCCTCAGCAGTCTGTTTATATACGTCTATGATGTTTTTCGCAGTACCTAATTTTTTTCATGTAACTAAACACTGAATAGAAAATTTGTCGGGATTTTCTATTTAACACCGAATTCTTCCTTCTCTGCATATTTAGACTAAAATCTGAACACTCAAATTATATTAACAAAAATAATTAAAAACAAGAAATAACAAAAACAATTAATAACAAGGAATACACAAACAACAATTAATAACGAGATGACAAAAACAATTAACGAAAATAAACTTATTAAAAAAGTTATCATTAAAATTATTGCTCTGAAGTGTACGAGAATACACTTCAGAGCGATACAACGTTAAACGTCAGCGTGGTCAACGTTGTATTGACCAATAAAAAGTGTGCTCACGACTTATGTCGGCAGTTATACATTCACTGTGACTGGATTTGATCGCATTCTGTACTGTGTTTGCAGGCATTGACATAGGCACTAGTTATTTTGTTGTGAACAACGGTCCACTTCGCAAGTTCAGCAACGCAGTTTAAAATGGATTCCATTATTTTTAAGAATCTATTGGACGGAAAGAGAGAGCCCAGAAGATCAGTTTTGTCCTTTGCGGCATGGGCCAATGAGTCGTCCTCCCTGTGCAGAGATGGGAGAGATGGCTGACAGAAGTTGCCTTGGACAGCCATGGCGAGACAACAAAATGCACGTGCTCTGACTTTGCCGTGGCAATGACAGATTGAACGAGCTGAAGGCGGAATTATACTAATTTTTAAGAGGGCTGGTATTTGCAGCCCAATAGGTCGATACGTGAGCCCAGGTCTGTTAGCACTCCCGCTTATGGCATAATGCAATTTTTCAGGAGTGACCAAACCAAGCTGGGTTCTGCCTCCGAGAGGTAAAAACAAATTATGGAATAAAAAGTTCCACTTCCTGTAACAACACATCAGTGACCGAATAAACAACAACGCTGGTATAATCTACTATTAAACCCTTCCCCAAGGGTAGGATGCAAAAAAGACCGCATTCCATCCCGATTCGCTGACTTATAATTTCAAACACGGTGGTCACCTGCAGAATACAATCGCGATGGGAGCTTGAGTGGCACCGTAATCTGGATCAGACAATGGTCCAAGGAGCCAACAGGGGCATCGACGGAGACCTGATATCCGTCCGGGTGAGAGGTAACCAGAAAATCTAACAGTGGCGGTACATGATCTTCTATATCTGGAATCCACATAGGCGAGGTAACCAGTTGTGTCCGGATACCACCTTCTCGTTGGAGTCAGGCGCGAAGCAGCTCACTGCGTTCCATCTGTGAGCGGAAAACTCAGTGCCTTTGGGAGACAAAAGGTCCATCAGTTGCGCCGTTTGGGACTAGCGTGGACTTTTGAGCAAAGCTTTACCGGATAACTCATTCTAGAGGGTAGCGTGATCTGAGGCCTGGTCTTACCGTTGGCCGACCGGTGGTAACCAAGTAGCGTACCAGCCACCTGCTAAAGGCTGCTCCGCCAACTCGCGTAAAATCTCCACTGGACTCGGGCATTCATGCGATCTCCGAATAAGTTTCCCATCGGTTTGCTTAGTTCTTTAATCTTTGGTTGATTTCTGTGCCGTGTAGTGGCGGTGAATAATATCCACTACCCCATATCTTCCCGTGGGTGTCGTAAAAGGCGACAGAGCGAAACAGGCAGGAGATGGGCAGCAGCATCTTCCTGATAGCAGCAACTGTACGACAAAAAAAATGCGGTTGCCAACCCGCTCGCCAAGCGTGGCAACTATGGCAATATACCCCCATGAACAATTACACAAATAGACGACCCCCAGTCCCCGGCGGCCCCGTTATTCCTAGCTACGGTGGCGACCATGGTAACGGCGGGGCAGGGGGTGCTAAGAATCTCCGGAGGAGGTTCGGTTGCCACCTACGACGACTCGACCTGGCAATATTTATCGCACGCACCCTGAGGACTGACGAGAAGATCCTGGAGCTGGAAGAAGAGATAGACAAGTTGCGCTGGAATATTATAGGATTATCCGAGATCCGAAGAGAGGGGGAGGACACGGTGATTCTCGAATCCGGCAACTTGTTCTATCACCGGGAGGGCGACCATCTGTCCCAAGGAGGTGTCGGATTTATCGTCCACAAGTCTCTCGTCAACAAAGTTGTAAAGATTGGGAGTGTGTCGACGAGGGTCGCGTACCTGATACTCAGAATCACCAAACGGTATTCGCTGAAGGTCATACAGGTTTACGCACCAAACTTGGCACATCACGATGAGAAGGTGGAGGAAATATATGAGGATATTTCTAAAGCCATGCATTCCTCCAAAACTCACTACACGGTGTTGATGGGAGACTTCAACGCAAAACTAGGCACAAGAGAAAACGGTGAGCTGAAGTTAGGGACATTTGGAGCAGGGCAACGGAACCGAAGGGACCAGCAGCTGGCCCACTTTATGGAGAAAAAGGGACTCTTTATGATGAACTCTTTCTTCCAGAAGCGGCCCCACAGAAAGTGGACCTGGTCGAGACCCGACGACTCGACAAAAAATGAGATTGAATTCATTATGACGACCAGACGCCAACTGTTCAGTGATGTCTCAGTGATCGCAAGGGTGAAAACTGGCAGCGATCACCGAATGGTTAGAGGCACACTGAACCTAAACGTTAAGTTGGAGAGGTCTCGTCTAATGAAGTCAACGCTCCGTCCCCCTCGTGCTCTAATCCAGAATCCCGAAAACTTTCAGCTCGAGTTACGTAACCGCTTTCAGTGCCTACAAGATTGCTATGCAGTGGACGATGTGAATGACAAGCTCGTGGAAACTGTCCATGCGGTCGGAGCTAAGTTCTGCAAGACCCGCCGCAGAAGAACACAAAAACTCTCCGATCACACTCTTAATCTCATGGCTGTTAGACGGGAGATGAGGCTGCAATCGTCAACAGATTTGACAGCATACAGACAACTGAACAGACAGATCTCCAAATGCATGTGACGAGACTTACGCAACTTTAATACTGCTCGAATTAAAGAAGCGATCGAGCGGAACCATGGCTCCGAAGTCTTTGCCAGAGATCTGTCTGCCAGTAAGAGCCAACTGTCAAAGCTGAAGACAGAGTGTGGCAGCATCGTTTCCGGGACACCTGAGATTTTGAGTGAGATTGAGAGGTTCTATGGGCAGCTGTACACATCATCGTTGGAGCCACATCCAAGTGTGAGTAACGATCCAAGAGCGAGTCTTATCCGACACTATTCCGATTATATCCCGGACGTCAGTCTAAGCAAGATTACAATGGCTCTCCAGCACCTTAAAAACGGCAGGGCCCCAAGCGAGGATGGAATTACAGCGGAGCTTCTGAAAGCGGGTGGAACACCGGTACTTGAAGTCCTTCAGAAGCTCTTCAATTCCGTCCGCCATGATGGCACTACTCAAGAGGCGTGGAGCAGAAGTGCGGTGGTCTTGTTCCTTAAGGAAGGCGACAACGCTCTCTTGAAGAACTACACACCGATTTCCCTTCTGAGCCGCGTCTACATTCTATATTCGAGAGTCATTACGAATCGTCTCGCACGCAGACTTGACGACTTCTGGCCTCCCGAACAAGCCGATTTCCGAAAAGGCTTCAGTACCATAGACCACATACATACCTTGCGGCAGATTTTACAGAAGACTGAAGAGTACAATCTGCCACTTTGCCTGGCGTATGTGGACTATGAGAAAGCCTTTGATTCCGTCGAAATTTGGGCGGTGCTACAGTCCCTTCAGCGGTGCCAAGTTGACTGTCGGTATATCGAAGTGCTGAAGCGTTTGTACAGTAGTGCTATCCGAGTACAGAACCAGGGCTCGAAATCTATCCAACTGCAGAAAGGTGTAAGACAGGGTGACGTTATATCCCCGAAACTCTTCACCGCTTCATTGGAAGACGTTTTCAAGCCACTGGACTGAAAAGGATACGGTATTAACATCAATGGCGAGTACATCACTCACCTTCGATTTGCCGACGATATAGTCCTTATGGCAGAATCGCTGGAGGACTTAAGCACTATGCTCAATGACCTCAATAGTGCCTCCCAACGGATGGGTCTTAAGATGAACATGGACAAAACAAAGATTATGTTTAATGTCCACGTCACACCTATGCCGGTAGTTGTTGGGAGCACTATGTTCGAAGTTGTTGATGAGTACGTTTACCTGGGACAAATAGTCCGACTAGGTAAGTCCAACTTCGTCCGACAGGTCAATCGACGGATTCAACTCGGCTGGGCAGCGTTCGGGAAATTACGACATATCTTCTCGTCAGATATACCTCAATCTCTAAAAACTAGATTGTACAACCAGTGCGTGTTGC